CATTGCTGAGAGTGCGCCTTTTAGTCCGGTGCGCCTTATGTGTGTGTTAAATACAGAAATGGGACACATTGCTGAGAGTGCGCCTTTTAGTCCGGTGCGCCTTATGGTCGTGAAAATACGGTATGTTTGATTTGGTGATAAGTGGAGGCGTTGCAGAGACAAGGGTGGAACTAAACTGAGAAATAACAGCCGTTTCGCGGTAACTCGATTTTGATGCTTTGTGTTTCGCGCTTTGCATGCGACTTCACTGCCTTAATTCCCATCGTTCTGAGCTTCAGTGACTTCTTGCACTAAATCCACTGAGCCTCATGTATGTTCCCTGGTTTTAGCCATGGAGAAAACTCTTGGCTGGAGACAATTTTCATTACATTTACACATTTACAGAAAGTTAATGGTGCATCTCCCAAATGTCCCGGCCACAACAACACTTTTATTGGTTCCGCTATCGGGACGGAATCAATAATGGCGAGCCGTTATTTTATTTAATAAAAAAAAAGGTACATTTTTATGTTTTATTTAGATTACAAAAATAAATCATAATAAAAATAATCCTTTTTATGAGGTTTTGAAAATTAAGACCTACAAAAGACTGATTTAAGACATTTTAATACCAATTAAGGCCTTAGTGTTATTTTGAAGAATTCAATGCCTTTTAAGACTTTTTAAGGACCCACGGGAACCCTGTATATGCAAAGAGGAATTGGGACACCACTACCCTCATGGGTATAAAAAACATTTAGTTGTAGGGCTAAAGAGCAGGGCTACGGGTTTGTATTAGGATTGTGCTTAAGTATGTAAAACCATGTCAACCAATAAACCTTCCAGGTTTCAAGAACTACAGGATCATTATATATAATATTATATATTAGCTTTGCCTCTAAAGGGCTAAATTTTCCAAATAATAAGCAAGCAAAATATGTTCAATTCAAAAAGCATATCCAGTCTGACCCTTTAATCACTAAGAAATATTTAGGAATCAATAAATTGGATTGCTTTTTCTAAAGCTGTAGTAAATACAAATTCAGTAAATATTTTAGGAATTAAATAGTTTATGTGATAAACATCTTGATCTTTTTATTTATATATATATATATATTTTATATATATATTTTTTTATATATATTTTATAAAAATATATTTTATTTTATAAAAAAAAAAAAGATAAACATCTTGATCTATGGGCTCAGTTCCTAATTACAATGTCCCTGACAGAAAACACTTGGTAGTAGGAAAGGACGTTATATATAGTCATTTAGTTTTTCACGTGAGTAAAATAGACTTTAAACCAATCAATTCATTTAAAACCCGCCCTCAACACTCCCATGACTTAACTTACCATCAATGGCAGAGCGACACACAAGGTGTGAATAGGAGAAGTAGAGAGGTTTGTCCAGTTGAAAGTACGACTCCAACACTTTTCTCACTTTCTCGCTGAGGTCAAAGAACAAACGAGCGCTCTTCAGAGGGACCTTTCCCTCCTGTCCGAGCTATGAAATGTAAGAAACCAATTTAATGACCAACACAGTATGGGTAACCATTAGTAACCAGAACATCAAACAGTTCAGAAAGTGCTTTAATCTCATTTCTACGGAAGAGGATTAGGGCCACTGAAAAAAAAAAATGTTAACTGATTTTTT